TATTTTTAAACCTTTTGAACCTGAGTGGCCTGTATACTGGCAGCTGTGCGAAATTGTATATACTGTACTCATTAGGGAGTTCAGTGTTAAAAGGGTTAAATAATTAACAAATCTTTTTCTTTTTAAATCCAACATTATTTTTTATTACTATAAACAATATATTAATTACGTACAGGTGTTTGAATAAACAGTCCTCAACCCTTTTTGTAGAAAATAAAATTCATTTTTATCTGAATTTCTCAAAGTTATTAACAAAACTGTCTTTAAATTATTTACATATGCACTATTGTATGCATCTTTGTTGCTGTCATTACAACGTTTCATGCATTATTACCTTTGACCTTTATCAGATGACCTTTAAGGAATTTTGAATACACAGAGGCTTTTCTAAATGCAGTCAAGATTGACAACTAGCAGCAACAGTGCTCATCAGCAGGTAGGTTAGGTTTAAAGGTCCAAGTTCTCTACACAGGATTGTCCCACAGGACAACAACCTAGTGGATCGAAGTGTCGGCTTTGCTTGGTTTGTTTTATGGCATATCAACCTCAATGGGTTATTTAATGCCAACAACATTTTTAGGATAGATTCGTATGAATAGAATATGTATTCTTTGGTTTAGATTGGTTTGGTTTATTTTGTATAATGGCATATCAACCTCAATAAGTTATTTAATACCGACAACATTTTTATTGCTGCTAATATCTTATTTAAATTACCAAGGGGTGTTGCAGTGTGTTGTTATAAAGATGGAAAAAAAAACTGTAGCTAATGGAAGGTACACAAGTCAATACCTGATCAGTATCAACTGGATCACTGTGGAGACTGGATATGATTTTGAAAGACCCAAAACACCTAATAAACTTCAGCTAGAAACATCACTGATGATGTTACCAAAGAATCAAATGTATTTTACGAATTTCCAAAAATGTATTACTAGAAATATTTTTTCCATCAAAAAATTTATTGCTGGTATTAAAACATTTTTATACTTCTTAGTATTTTGACCCCAGTTTGGGAGTTAACTATTTGCCCATAACTGGGGCCCTAACAGGTGCTACCACCCCAGGTCATGGTGGACCTGAGAACACCAGCAATTAAGAGATGGCTCTATGCTCCTCAAAACCTCCTGAACAGAGGCCTTGCTGTTGGATGTAGTTTATCATCTTACCCAGGACATTGAAGTGTTGGTTCATGAATTAGATGACATAATTCCAAGTTCAATCCTTGGGTTGGGCAGTGTGTACTTGGACTCAGTGGAAAAGGGGGTGAGCAATAACTGGGCAGTACTAAAAATAAAAACTTGATAATATATCCCTGGACATGAGAGCGAAAGGAGAACAGTCTATCCCCATAAATTCAATAAAGGGTTATTTCGGAATTGAAAACACAGTGATTGTGAGTTCAATCTCTGGGTTGGGCAGTGTGTACTTGGACTCAGTGGAAAAAGGGAGAGCAATAACTGGGCAGTACTAAAAATAAAAACTTGACAATATATTCCTAGATAGGGGAAGTAGAGCACTAACAGTCTACCACCAGAGATTAAATTTATTTAAAAGGCTCATTTCAAAATTCCCTTTAGGCTACCCAAGTCAAGAAGCACTTGATGACGGGCAGAAGCTAAAATGGCTGAGATGTTGTTATAATGACAACAAAAATGAGGACAATAGTCAGAATGAAAAAAGTAAATAGTGAAATTGATGCCTACTACTTTAAGATTTTTGATCTCTAGGCCAGCAGATATTTCAGTGTTTTTTTTTTAAAAAAAAAAAAAAGGACTCTTTACTCTGAGATGTGTATCCATTGAATATAATGTTTATAGCAACAAAAAAAAAAAAAAAAATACAGGACTATGTCAGGCTCAAGAATACATTTTGCTGGCAATTTGAAAACAGTTAAAAAGAAAAGAAAACAATTACAGAATTATTTGAGTAATTTGACCTTTCATCTCACCTCAGCTGGCTCATTTTTCTCACAGACTGCAAAAAGTTGCTCAACCAATTATGACTCTTGGTCATTATAAACTGTATTACATGTTAACTTTTCTGGTATATTAAAAACCATTACTATTTGATATTTATTTTGTCTGACTAACACTAATTTCATAATTGTTTTTTTTTTCCTTATATGGTCATCACTTCATACATTTATAAACCTTCATTTTATTTGTCAGTAAGAGTAGATAGGTTCATCTATCGCCCGGTTTGCTCTCCTCACCACTTTTGAACAGGAGTAGAGGTTTATCCATTGGGTTTCCGATTCCTTCTAATATCTACTTCAACTATATACTTCTAACGTCTAAGTCTGAAATTTTATTCATTAATTTCCCCCCCACTTCTCACTAGGTGTAAATCGGTTCACCTATCATCTAGTTCACATTTCTCCCATCTTTTGAACAGGAGAAGAGGTTTTTATCCCTTGTTTTCTGTTTAGGATTGGGTTTTCTGTTCTTTTAAAGTTTTTTTTTTCTATTCTTTTTCCCTCCCAGTAGCTTCTTGCGTTTTAGTGGCATTATAACCATACTTGGGGTGAATTGATAAAAAAAAAAAGTTAATTTTAATTATTTTTTTGTTTAAATTTTGACAAGTGGAGTTTGAAACCTTAAGCGTTTTTTGCTTGGTCTAGTCAATCTAGGCTCCAAGCACTTTAGTGAGTAAGTTCACCCTTCTTTTTTTTTTAACTTTTTTTTTTTTTTTTCAGTATTGTTGTTTTTATTAGAAACTGTAACTGTATAAGAATTTCAGATTTTGTCAAGTTGTCCATTGGTTCCATCAATATTTTAGGTTTTTTATTTAATGATTGAGATATAGCTCAGTAGTAGAAGCTCTGACTGACACCAAATCGGTTGGGTTTTGATCCTGCCTTGAGGCATTCAGATCTCTTGTTGCACTGCTGAGCTGTGATACAGTTAAACAGTACTGTCTATGAATGACATTATATATATATATATATATATATATAGCAAATTCTCTTTTAGGCATGTCTGGATAAATTACAAATATTATGCCTGCTTTTTTTATCATAATCAATTCATATTGACAAATATTTTTGCATATATTACAATTGTAATACACAGAAAATATTCATGAATATGAAATGATTATAATCAAAATAAGCAGACATAATATTTGTAATTTATTCAGACCTATATATCTCCAAATGACATGAGATCAGATCAAATATAAATTCAAATGTTCACATTAATTCTAAATATAGGGCTCAGTACAATAGTAGAGTGATAATTCTTTATTATTAGATATTACATTTGAACATCTGTAAAACTGCTACATATATGCATTCATGTTTTGATGCATATCATCACATCTCATCAGATGGTGGTAACTGAGAGTTATTACAATTGTTTGTTTGTAAGTATTAAAATTGTAATAACCCTCGTTTACCACCACCTGATGAGATGCGATGAGTCAAAACATGAATGCATATATGTAACGGTTTTACATATGTTCAAATGTAATATCTAATAATAAAGAATAAACTATATGATATATTTAGATATATATATATATATATATATATATATATATATATATATATATATATATATATATATATCTCTCGCAAGATCACAAATCCCGTTATCCATCAGGGTAGTCTTAGGCAAGATAGCCTGACAGAGCCCAACCCTCACCAGGACAGTTTTAAATTCTCTTTACTTTCTCTGAGACCAGCTGCCATCCAAGGCTACAGAACCCATTCTGTCCTGTCATAGCTCTGGGGAGAAAAAATTCATACCTTTCTCAAAGGTATTAGCATGAGAGTGTAATGGATCTGACTGGAATTCGAACTTGGCTCTCCGATTCCTCAATCGGAGCTGCTGAACCCACCGTGCCTCCCATTTTATATATATATATTAGGTTGGTGCAAAAATAATGACGTAATAATGTCGTTTTTTTAACTTATTTTTTTAAAAACGACATTATTACGTCATTATTTTCGCACCAACCTAATTTATATATATATATATATTAGTTAAACCTAATTTTAGGTTTAACTAGGTCTGCTCTACTTAATGTATTGAGCATTTTATTTAGTAATTTTGCTAACTCGTATTGGGGTTTTTTTTCTTTGGACTTGGATGCTAGACGATTATTTTCGGCTGATGTACATGTTCTTTCTTTTTTATAATTTTTTTTTCCCTTTGGTATTGGTTTGATTATTTGCAAATCAAGACACCGAAGGTTTTCTGGACGAGTATAATTTCTTATACTTATAAGATTATTACTAGTGTGTGTATATATATATATATATATATATATATATATATGTGTGTGTGTGTGCATTTAAAATGTGCTACATTAGGGAAGACTGTTTAATATCGGGTATAAAGTGTTTGTACTCTGAGTTGTGAAACAAGCATTCACAATGCACTGTTGATTCCAATATCCTCACATGTTTTGGCAGCTTTTTTTCATTAAAACAAGTTTGATTAATGATGAACAACTAAGATTTTTTTTCTAATTAACTTTTGTTTGTGAAAAAAAAGAAGAAAGAAAGAAACATTTGGATTCAATCAAAGTAAATATTGGACAATTTTTTTTGTGCTTTCAACAAAACTTCTCATCCCTCAGGTATGGAAGGGCTATATAAATGATTTTGATGACCAGACGAGAGATATATGTCTTAAGGAGTGTCCTTTGCTTTAGAATAAAAAAATATTTTAATGCACAAACAATTCTGTCCTTTTGACTGTGGCTCAAAATGTGTTAAGAAATGACCATATAAGGAACAATGCCAGTTAAAAGCCAGTACAGAACATTTTGAGAAGAAAAAAAGAAAAAAAAAAAAGAAAAAAAAAAACAGAAAAAAATAACATGTAGGAGAAAAGAGTTACCTCCCTTGATTGAGGTGTCCTCAAAAAAATAACAGCCAAGAGAAATGTACCAGAATGAAGGTGAACAGCTACAGAAAAAAACATTTATGTAAAAAAAAAAAAAATATATATATATTAAAACCAAGATGAATAAATATAGATTTTACTTACAGCAGGGGGAGGTGAGTCTGAATATTGCCCTACCCGCCGTGGAATTGTATCCTCACTACCTGCAGCACTCTCGCTTCTGAAATAATAAAAGCAATAAAAGTTTGTTTTTGTTTTTTTCAGTTAATGCAGCAATTTTTTTTTTTTAAGCCATATTTACCTGGTGTCATTTTAAACTGACATGTGCCCCCCACCCAACACACTTAATATTTGACCATTTTGTTTAGAGTTTATATTTTCTTGCTTTCAGAAAATCACTTTTTTTTCTTTCCTTTCAGTTAATGATTGATTTGCTTGTTCAATGGCACATCAACTCCTTATGGGTCATTTAAGGCTGAAATTTAATTTTCTTGGAAGCTTTGAAGTATTAAAAATATGATACATTGTTATTCTGCTTTCACAATTGAATACATGGTAGATGATGCTCAGGTTTTGTGGATATACATGTTTGTGTGGACACGATTACTAAAGGCGGTGATATGTGTGTTTTATGTTGTAGTTTTGTTTAAGTTATCCTTTGGAATGAAGTTTCATTTAAGAAATTGTAGGATATTATATGGACTAATTCCATAAAAGAGATCTTTCATTTTGATTAGTTGGTAGTATTTTAGATGGATTTAGGTGAAGTCGCTACAATTTGATGGTATGTGTCTAGTTCTTGGCATGTCATACAGATTGAAGGTTGGTCATATTTTAGAATATAAGATTGGTTGGTTGAATTTGTAAAGCGGCATATCAACACCTCTATGGGTTATTTAATTCTGAAATCTAAATATTTTGAACACAGTTTTATGGCTTCAATTAAATATATTTTGAATGTAATTGTATGCCTTCAATTTTGGTTGGTTGATTTTGTTTAGTGACATATCAATGAATATGGGTTATTTGCTTATATGCTGAAATATAAATATTTTGAACACAATTTTATGGCCCCAATTAAATATATTTTGAACACAATTTTATGGCCTCAATTAAATATATTTTGAATGCAACTGTACGCCTTCAATTTTGGTTGGTTGATTTTGTTTAGCGGTATATCAACACCTCTATGGGTTATTTAATGCCGAAATCTAAATATTTTGAACACAATTTTATGGGTTCAAATTAATATATTTGAAACAATGGTATGACTTCAACTACAGATAAAACATATTGGTCATTTTTTTATTTATTTTATATATATATATATATATATATATATATATATATATGAAGAAAAATATATACGGAAAAAACAAACAAAAATCCTTATATTCAATTTATACTCATGTCATTATTGTCATGTTGTATTGATAATGTTATAATTTATGAATATCTCCTGAAGATGGTTTATTAGACCTAAAACGTCCGACATTGACATATTAACATTAAAACAGTATAAATTGCATATAAGGATTTTGTTTTTTTTTCTGTATATATTTTTCTTCATACTGTTGGATCTATATCCATATATATTATATATATATATATATATATATATATATATATATATATATATATATATATAATGTATATATATGTATTTTTTTTACATAATTGTATTTTTATACTTTCATAGTGTTTTGTTTTTTGTTTGGGTGTTCAGTATTTGACCATAGTTAGGGCCCTAACAGATGATACCACTCCAGCTCAGGGTGGATCTGGGAACAGCAGCAATTAAGAGGTGGTTGCATTCCTCTCAAAACCACCTGATCAGAGGCCTTGCTGCCAGATGTAGTTTATCATCATACCCAGGACTGTTAATGCATCATCATTTTTTTAAACCCATATCTACCTGGTGTCAATAAGGAAAATTTAGTCGGAAAATTGGAAAATAATAAAGAAGTCTCCTGAAATAAGCATTTGTTTTTAAGACATTACATTTTATGCTTGTGTGGAACTTGTGCTTTGGCAATTTTGGAAATGTTCGGACTTAAATGTGAAGATTAGTGGTACCGTTTTCATTTAAAGAGATTTATAACTTTAACAAATATTGCAATAACAATCATAAATATGAATGCTGGTCATTATTTTAAGAAGTAAGGGGGTACAAATGAAAAGATTTGAAATTGACAACTTTTTACATTTCACTGAAATGTCAAAAACTTATCTTCACTTTCTTTCATTTTCTCAATGAAACCAATTAGGATCTCTGATATGCCTTTTCCGTCCCTCCCCAAATCCATTGCTTAAGAGGTATTGGCAGGGCATAAAGGTGGTGCTAACTAAGGGCAGGACAAGCAAAATTATGATATTTTCCTTGCCAATTGTTCTGTTGAGCTTTCCTGTTTTGGTACCTCAAACTTCATGGATTTAAGCACAGCACTAGATTGGCAGCTAGGTCCCCAAATTCACTATAGATGCAATTATAACTTTTATTGTAAGTTTCTTCTCACATACTTCATCTCTGGAACTCTTTTCTGGTTCTTTGCTTGCCACCATAATTTTTTCTCAAGTGCTTTAACCCTCAGTAATCTCTTGTGTCTTAGTGGCTTTATTGCCTTTTTCTGGGTGAAATGATTAGAAAAAAAAAAAAAAAAGAAAAGTTAAACTAACATTGACAGACTAATAAAATTATAAAAATCTAATACCTCTACATATGGACCAATGATTTTACACACCAAGCTCTAAGATGCTTCAAGAACATATATATATATATATATATATATATATATATATATATATATATATATATAATATTAATGTCTATACTCGACTGGTGTAAAAAATTCCAGATAGTTTAAAAAAAGGGGGGCGGATTTGGGAAAAAAACGAAAAGACTAAAAAAATCAAAGTAGGTCGGTTGGAGCTTTGAATCGAGCAGTGTCGTAAATTCTAGTCCAAAGGAAAAAAAAAAACAATTGAGTAAAATAAGGAAAAACGTAAAGTGCTCAATACACTAAGTAGAGCAGGTGTGTGTGTGTGTGTGTATATATATATATATATATATACACACACACACACACATACATCATTCAAAATATATATATATATATATATATATATATATATATACTACATCTAAAAAAAAAAAAAAAACCCTGTCCATGTAAATTCTGAAAAGTCTAAATGATCTATAATTGAAATAATAACTGATGTCTGTCTATACAAAATTTTATCATTTATATTATAATATATATGCATTTGTATAGGGGCATATGTGTGCTGATATATATATATATATATATATATCTCTTATAATTAATCTAATATTTATAATTATCCATATGGTAATTACAACCATACATATATGTTGATGTATGTATAATGCAGATGTTTATATACGTAAGTATTTAGATGTGAACATGCTTGTATGCATGTGCACACGTACACATGTATGTGCGTGTGTATGTGGGTACGTATATATATATATATATATATATATATATATACACACACACACACACACACACACACACACACACACACACAGCTCTACTTCATGTATAGCCCGACCCCTAAAAGGGGTCGGGCTATACATGACGTTGACTTATACACAAGTATATGCGGTAAATGGTAGAAACATATTAGAAATAAGTAAAATAAAATGACCAAATGTACATATCGAGGCAAGCCATGCTTTAGTCATTTTGAAAATAATTGATCTGGAAAGATATTCTATGATGATACTTAACCTGAAATGCTGAACCAGGATTTGTTCAAAGGCTCACAAAAGTATTTTACTTTTCATTTTGATTTGTATAGTTTATAAATTACCACCTTTTCGAACTGAGTTATTTTGATGTATAGTGTCCACTTTTTCTTTGTTCATCTGCTGATTTTGGTTAAGAAAAAAAAAACATTACATGTCAAACGTGATTGCTTAACAACTACCCCCAAATATCCAGATAATGGGTAGAAGAATAAAAAAATGTCAGATAGCCCTTAGAGCAGGGACGTCCAACTGGGGGTGGGGCTGCTCTATAACCCACTTAATAATAATTTCATACGGCCCACTGCACCCTATAATCTTTAGACATATTTTCATTTACTTTAGTAACCTATTTTGAGAAAACTATTCACACATTATACCAGTAGGTTTGCTACTCCATTGCACTAAAAGGGGAATGAGGCAAAGACCTTTGCTGAAACACACTGGCTGGTGTGTGGGGCAAGAACTAGAGCTAAATAAAAATTATTTAGCTTATCTAGAAAACTTATGCATGTAGGGGTAGTACATACTGCTATGAACAATTCTTTCCGTGGATGAAAGTCCTCAAAACTGCTGAAAGAAATAGGTTGATTGATTCCCATTTAACTAACATTCTTAGAATAAACACTTGGACCATAAAAGCAAATATTGACAATATTATAAAACGAAAGTAATGTCAAAAATCATATTGAATTTATTTATTTTGTCTATGTATAATTTCTTCTTTTTTTGACTGTCAATAATACAGTATTTTTTTGTAATTATATATATATATATATATATCTGTTATTAAAATTTGATATTCATATTTTGAACTTTTTAAAAGTATATTGATATAAAGTACTTTTGTGGCCCAGTGAATATACCTAAATATATGATTCGGCCATTAGGAAAGAAAGGTTGGCCAATCCTGGTATAGACAAATACTACCTGTGGTCTGCAGTGAACTTTAAATTCAAAGGCCGTTCAAAGCATAGAGCTTCATTCAGAGTGTAATCAGCTTTGTCTGTCATCTGGTTTACACTCCTCTGCAGTCTCTTGAACAAGAGTAAAGGGTTTTTTGGGGTTTCTTTAATTGTTAAAACCCCATGAAAGGCAGTACAGCTGTTAAGGCACAACAGGTTACAGGGTGGGGAGGAATTTGGAATGGAAACATTACTATCGAGCAGAATGAGAAAAGAGTAATCAGAAGGACCGTAGGTAGCGATTGACATTACATTTAAATTCTTGCAGATTAAAGTTGGCTGGAAAGAATGGAGCTTGGAGGGAGTTCCACAAGTGAGAAGTGCAAGAAAAGAAACTAATTCCTGTGGCATGCCAATGGAAATAAGATACTCTTAGTTACTACCCATCGTACACATGGCTTCCTATAGGAGAAAAGACTGTGACAAATTGCAGCCTTGCAAGGAACTGTATTCATGACAGCAATTCGATCACTTTAGGTGATT